CAATTCTCCTGCCTCAGCCTCCTGAGTAGCTGGGATTACAGGCACGCGCCACCATGCCCAGCTGATTTTTTTTGTATTTTTAGTAGAGATGGGGTTTCACCATGTTGACCAGGATGGTCTCGATCTTTCGACTTCGTGATCCGCCCGCCTCGGCCTCCCAAAGTGCTGGGATTACAGGCTTGAGCCACCGCGCCCGGCCTATTCAATTTTTAAAAACAATTTCTGGCCCAGTCAAATGCATTTGCCAAATTTAGTATTTAATGATTTGGATTCAATTCCAAAATAATTTACATTCAAATTCTTGTTATATGTACTTTTGACATAACTGGATTTGAAAACTAAGAAAAAACGAAAGTGGGCCGGTCGCAGTGTCTGACGCCTGTAATCCCAGCATTTTGGGAGGCCAAAGCAGGCGGATCCACTGAGGTCGGGATTTCGAGACCAGCCTGACAAACATAAATGAAACCCCGTATCTATAAAAATCCAAAATTAGCTGGGCATGGTGGTGCGTTCCTGTGATCTCAGCTACTCAGGAGGCTGAGGCAGGAGAAACGCCTAAATCTGGGAGACAGAGGTTTCGGTAAGCCAAGATCTGCACTGCACTTCAGCCTGGGAAACAAAATCGAAACACCAACTCAAAAAAGAAAAGAAAAAGCCGGGCGCGGTGGCTCAAGCCTGTAATCCCAGCACTTTGGGAGGCTGAGGCGGGTGGATCACGAGGTCGAGAGATCGAGACCATCCTGGTCAACATGGTGAAACCCCGTCTCTACTAAAGATACAAAAAATTAGCTGGGCATGGTGGCACGAGCCTGTAATCCCAGCTACTCAGGAGGCTGAGGCAGGAGAATTGCCTGAACCCAGGAGGCGGAGGTTGCGGTGAGCCGAGATCGCGCCATTGCACTCCAGCCTGGGTAACAAGAGCGAAACTCCGTCTCAAAAAAAAAAAAAAGAAAAGAAAAAAACTGAAGTATAATTTTAAAGGTTCAAGGGACTTAAGCTTAGTGGCACAAACGCTGTAGTAAAATAGAGCCTCATCTTTTTATCAGTAATATTTTAATAGTTTTATGTCTGAGCACTTATGCATCAATAACAGAACTTTGGATATGTTAGGGAATATTTAAATGGATAAAGTAAAAAAGTGATCACTGAAGTCTAATAAGTGATGGATACTGCAGCCTAATACTTTTCAAAACCATTCAGGGTATGTTTGACAAACAAGAAGGTTACATAGGAGCTGTATGATTAATGTAAAGTGTTTTCTCTCTAACTTTAGTCTTTATTCTCAACCTTACAAATATCACATACTCAAATACACAGAATAAGAAAAATTAAGGCGGGTGTTGAACAGTTAGAACACGTGGTGGACACAGGGAGGGGAGCATCGCACACTGCAGTCAGTTGGGACTAGGGGAGGGACAGCGTGGGGGGGGTAGGGTGGGGAGGGATAACATGGGGAGAAATACCAGAAACTGGTGACTGGTGGGGGTGGCGGGGGTGGTGGTGGTGGTGAGGAAGGCAGCAAACCACCTTGCCATGTGTGTACCTATGTAACAATCCTGCACGATCTGCGCGTGTACCCCAGAACCTAAATAAATAAAACAAAATCTTAAAAAAAAAAAAAAGGAGGGCCCGGCGCGGTGGCTCAAGCCTGTAATCCCAGCACTTTGGGAGGCCGAGGTGGGTGGATCACGAGGTCGAGAGATCGAGACCATCCTGGTCAACATGGTGAAACCGTCTCTACTAAAAATACAAAAAATTAGCTGGGCATGGTGGCACGTGCCTGTAATCCCAGCTACTCCGGAGGCTGAGGCAGGAGAATTGCCTGAACCCAGGAGGCGGAGGTTGCGGTGAGCCGAGATCGTGCCATTGCACTCCAGCCTGGGTAACAAGAGTGAAACTCCATCTCAAAAAAAAAAAAAAAAAAAAAAAAAAAAAGAACATCTGTCGGACAGATGCAGTGGCTCATGCCTCTAATCCTAGCACTTTGGGAGGCTGAGCCACGTGGATTACTTGAGGTCAGGAATTTGAGACCAGCCTGGCCAAAATGGCTAAATTCCATCTCCAGTAAAAATACAAAAATTAGCTTGGCATGGTGGCGGGTGCCTGTAATCCCAGCTTTTCACGTGGCTCAGGCAGGATAATCGCTTGAACCTGGGTAACAGGTTGCAGTGAGCTGAGATTATGCCATTTTACTCCAGCCTGGGTGAAAGACTGAGACTCCTCAAAAAAAACAAAAAACAGGGGCCGGGCGCGGTGGCTCAAGCCTGTAATCCCAGCACTTTGGGAGGCCGAGGCAGGTGGATCACGAGGTCAAGAGATCGAGACCATTCTGGTCAACATGGTGAAACCCCGTCTCTACTAAAAATACAAAAAATTAGCTGGGCATGGTGGCACGTGCCTGTAATCCCAGCTACTCAGGAGACTATGACACAGTAGAATCACTTAAACCTGGGAGGCGTAGGTTGCAGTGAGCCGAGATCTTGCCACTGCACTCCAGTCTGGGCAACAAGAGTGAAACTCTGTCTCAAAAAAAGTAAAATAAAATTCTGCCTTTCAAGCCCTACTAATATACTGCAATTTACAGCTAAAAACCGAGGTCAAAATAAGTAAACAAATATTTCTCAAGGTGACAAACCCAGGCAGTGCTGATTAAAAAACAGATGTGCCGGGCGCGGTGGCTCAAGCCTGTAATCCCAGCACTTTGGGAGGCCGAGGTGGGTGGATCATGAGGTCAAGAGATTGAGACCATCCTGGTCAACGTGGTGAAACCCCATCTCTACTAAAAATACAAAGCATTAGCTGGGTATGGTGGCGCGTGCCTGTAATCCCAGCTACTCAGGAGGCTGAGGCGGGAGAATTGCCTGAACCCAGGAGGCGGAGGTTGTGGTGAGCGGAGATCTCACCATTGCACTCCAGCCTGGATAACAAGAGCAAAAAACTCCGCCTCAAAAAACAGATGTGTTGGCCAGGCGTGGTGGCTCACACCTGTAATCCAAGCACTTTGGAGGCCAAGGCGGGCAGATCACCTGAGGTCAGGAGTTCAAGACCAGCCTGACCAACATGGTGAAACCCCGTCTTAAAAAAAATTAAATTAAATTAAAAAAACAAACAAACAAATAAAAAAAACAGATGTGTCTGACTTGTATTTCAAGTCAGGCCATTCAATCACTTGAGAGAACCACCCATTCAGGAGACCCTGCATTATGCCCCAGTTAAATCCCGAGGGGCATTTTACTTTGCAAGTTCTGACACCATCTCACTGGAGTCACTTTTTGTTTGTTTGATCTTTTGGGACACTGTATTTTCTGTGACAAATTTTTGGCTTTTTAACACTTTTTCTTTCAATATATTTATTTCATTATCTTTCTCCAACCTTAGAGAATCCAGGGGGCAGAAATCATTTCTGTGTTTTCCCCTCAGTACCAGCATCTGATTGGCTGACCAGCAATGTGCCCAAGAAATAAAAGCTGGGTTTGGTGTAGACAATTTTAATGCCTCAGGGGTTATCTTTTCAAAAAAAAAAAGAGCACACCAAAAGATTTCTCTCAGCCCCAGGGCATCCACTTGCTCCCTTGAGAGGATACATTTTATACCTCAGGTCATCCTATGGGAGAAAATAACCCAGAAGCTGATATTCCCTAGACACTTTAGCTGACATAACCATGGTGGGTATCTTGGTTTATCCCAAACAGTACTGAAACCCAGGACCAGAAAAAAACTAAAGGGTGACTGAGGACACATCACCTCATAAAGATTCCAAAGGAAAACCTTGACCCAAAATATTCTAACAAGATCTCTGTGCCTAGAGAAGATGTAAGCAGAAGAGACACAGACACTTTTTTACAATACAGCGTCAGGGGATTACTCTTTGCTTTCTTCTCATGGGTAATATTTACAAACAGATAACAAATCTTTTAAAAACTGTCATTTAATGCTTTGCAAAAAATAATATGATATAGAAAAGTACATTAAAAGACAAATAGCTGATAATGGAAATTAGGGAGGAGCTGGCATTTGGGAACCCCAGATGAAACTGGAAATTTAGTATCTTACTGCAAGCCAGAGTGAGGCTGGAGAAATGAGGGATAGCGGTTAGACTTAAGACACTGCTTAGGACACAGGTGAAAAATGCAGCAGAAAATCAGTTTCCCACGGAGTGTGAAAATAATTAAACCGCAGGCAATTAGACTGAGGTGTCTCTAGCCCTGGATTCGTACTTTTAAAAAAATCTAACTGAGGTGCATTTTTTAGTAAATAACTACATTGAGAGAAAATTCAGCCTTAACCAACTATAAACTGCCAAGTAACCTCGGATTACATAATCAGGAAATTTTCACCTTTATTGCACAAATGAAGAAACTACATAACTGTACCTAACCAATTACTGAATTTGGTTTTCTTCATCATGCAGTTTATTTTTATTTTTATTTCTGATGAATTCACAGAAACAGGCGTCAGAAGGTGGGTATCATGCAGTTTATAACTCTTTTTCTCTCAAGCCCCGTCCATCAACCACAAATTACGAACCACAGCAGGGTGCTTGATAATTTTTGAATCACTCTTTGATTAAAGTATTTAATGTTTTTAGGGTGACTCCCATACATTTTTAACAAGAGGGGAAGAGGAGTTGGGAACCCCACGGACCAAAGCTCTTCACACTCATGGAACCCGCACCCGGAGTCGGGATTCTCTCCTGACGACCCTCCTGTGGTCCCTGCACAATCGGGGAGAGACGCGACGGTCACGGGTGCAGAGCCGCCCCGCGATGGCTCCGGACCAGAGCACAGTCCCTGCGCAGGAAAGAGGCAGTACACCGGGGCCCGCCTGTCAGCGCAGCCGCCATCTTATGGCTGAAGGGGACTGAGGCCGAGCCGGGCAAGCACTCCGGGAGCAGATGGTGGAGCTGACTGCGGGGAGGCCCGAGTCCCGCCACAGCCACTTCCCACCGGTTCCAACCGGCCCCTTCGCCTCTCTCGGGAGGTTCGACCCGGCACTCTCACCATTTCTAGGGTTCCAGGGGATCCCGGCGTCCTAGCTGTGGGACTCCCAATACCTTCAGGTCGCAGGGCCACAGAGGCGCAGAGCACAGGACACGGAGAAGGGAAGACGAGACCCGGAGCTCCTGCGGCGAGAGACAAAGGCCGCGCCACATTCCCGAAGCCTTCCGGTCCGCTCCGGCTGCGTCCCTGATTGGACGGCTCCCAGAACAGCGTCGCTGATTGGACGGCTCCCAGCCCAGCGTCGCTGATTGAATCACGTTTTAAACCCCACCCTCTCAGGCCCTGAGTGACAAAAGATGTGATCGGGTGCTGGGCTGGGTGAAGAAAAAGTGACAGACAGCCTAGGCTGCAGCCTTTTCAGGCAGGGCTTCCTTCCTGAGCTGAGCCTGGCCCACCGCAGAGAGTATTAGCCTTTAGACTGGTGTGTAAAGTCATATCCATTTACAAATAATATTTTATATGGCTATTTACAAATAGAATATAATGCAAATTATTTTAAAATTTCAGATTTTATGACCTTCCCAGTTTCTGTTCTTTGAGCAGGAAGGTCGAGATTTTAGAAAGGAGGCAATCCTCTGAAATAACATGTGAGCCACATGTGAATTTTAAACTTTGTAGTATGCAAACTTTAAAAAGAACTTTAAACAGCCTGGCTCATTTTTATATTTTTAGTAGACAAAGTGCTAGGATTACAGGTGCCACTCACCATGCCCGGCCCTTTAAAGCTTTTTGATGTGGATATTTTGTGCTATAAATTTCCTACTTAACACTGCTTTAGCTGCATTCCAGAGATTCCGGTACATTGTGTCTTTTTTCTCATTGGTTTCAAAGACTTTTTTGATTTCTGACTTAATTTTACTTAATTTAATTTAATTTTTTATTTTTTTTTTGAGATGGTGATTCGCTCTTGTTACCCAGGCTGGAGTGCAATGGCGCGATCTCGGCTCACCGCAACCTCCGCCTCCTGGGTTCAGGCAATTCTCCTGCCTCAGCCTCCTGAGTAGCTGGGATTACAGGCACGTGCCACCATGCCCAGCTAATTTTTTGTATTTTTAGTAGAGACGGGGTTTCACCATGTTGACCAGGATGGTCTCGATCTCTCGACCTCGTGATCCACCCTCCTCGGCCTCCCAAAGTGCTGGGATTACAAGCTTGAGCCACCGCGCCCGGCCTAGGATATTTTTAAATACATCAAAATTTGGAAAATTCTCAGTCTCCCAGGAGGCGGAGGTTGCGGTGAGCCGAGATCGTGCCATTGCACTCCAGCCTAGGTAACGAGTGAAACTCCGTCTCAAAAAAAAAAAAAAAAAAAAGTTGTTAAAAAGGTGTCCAAAAATTTTTTTTTACCCTGAAATAGCTACTAACATGTATTATACAAGCCGACCCAGGTTAAGGGAAAGAGCAAGTGCATTTCAAGCCTCAGCTCGCTTCTTGATTAGCTGTAATTCCCTAGGAACATGACTCCGCCTGTTTGAGCCTGTTTCCCCTGTCGGTAAAATGCACTAATGCTGGGGAGGGTGCGGCCAGGAGGTGGGTCTTGAAGCTTTATCCAATCGCGGCGCAGGCGCGGGAACCGCCCCATTAGTCGCTCAATTGGAGAGGAGGGCGTGGCTTCCCGCGTCTGGCCGGGCTTCCGTCTCTCGCTCCGGCGGGAGCTTGGGAACCGTCTCCGCCGTTCTACGTCCTCCACCTCCGGAGTCCCCGGTGACTTTGTCACAGCCTCTGTTGCCCTGTGATCTGCAGGTCCTGGGAGAGGCACAGCTAAGATGCCAGGACATCCTGGAAGCTGGGAAACGGTGGGTGTGCGGGGTTGGGCATCCCGAGGCGGGAGAACGGGCCGTGAAACCGGCTGGACCCGCCTCCCCACAGTCCGCCCCGGGGTCGCCCGCCTGAGTCCGCGCTGGCGCAGCTCCGCCCCAGGCCCCTCTGGCCGCAAGATGGCGGCTGGTCCCGCAGCCCCGCGTCCCGCCTGTCCCTGCGCGGCGCCCTGTCTGGAGCTCTCTGGGCAGCTCTGCACCCTCGGCCGCGGGCATTTCCCAGATTGTTCACGGATGACAGGCGGGTCATCAGGGCAGAATTCCCACTCGGTGTGTGCGTGGGAGGGGCTGCGGTTCGTGGGGTTTCCAGTCTTTCCTGATCATTATTGGATTTTTTTTGTGAGACGGAGTCTCGCTCCTGTCGCCCAGGCTGGAGTGCGGTGGTGTGATCTTGGCTCACTGCCAACTCCGGCTGCCGGGCTCAAGCGATTCTCGTGCCTCAGCCTCCGGAGTATCTGGGATTACAGGCGCCCGCCACCGCGCCCGGCTAATTTTTTGTATTTTTAGGCGAGACAGGGTTTCACCGTGTTGCCCAGGCTAGTTTTGAACCCCTAACCCAGGTGATCTGCCTGCCTCGGCCTCCCAAAGTGTTGAGTTTACAGGCGTGAGCCACCGCGCCCGGCCATAAAGAAATTTCTGTACCGTCCTTTTAATATTTATTCATTGTATATTCTCATTAAAGCCTATTATTGATTGTAATGCATTTTTCTGTGAAATTTTGCTGCCATTCATTGAATGCCAATGATTCAGAATGCCTGCTCTGCATGAGTACACATAGCTAACAACTGTAGATATCCAAAGAATTATTTTTTATAGTCTATCTGTGTTGTATTCAGCATTTTATGCATTAAAATCTCTCTTGGCCAGGTGTTGGTGGCTCATTCCTGAAATTGGCCAGGCTCATTCCTGAAATCCCAGCACTTTGGGTGGCCAAGGCGGGTGGATCACCTGATGTCAGCAGTTGAAGACCAGCCTAGGTAACATGGTGAAACCCCGTCTGTACTAAAAAAAATAAAAAATAAAAAAATAGCCAGGCCTGTTGGTGGGTGCCTGCAATCCCAGCTACTTGGGAGACTGAGGCAGGAGCATCTCGGTAGGTGGAGGTTGCAGTGAGCCGCAATCGCGCCACTGCACTTCCAGCTTGGATATATTGCTGTATATGTTGTTGTATATAATCTATACAACAAACCCCCATGACACAAGTTTACCTATGTCACAAACCTGCACTTTTACCCTTGAACTTAAAAGTTTTTAGAAAGACCTATTTGTACCTTTTAAAGAGGAATCATCGAGTATTTTTCAAAGATAGTTTTTTTTTTTTCTTTTTTGTTTTTTCTTTTGAGACGGAGTTTCGCTCTTGTTACCCAGGCTGGAGTGCAATGGCACGATCTCGGCTCACCGCAACCTCCGCCTCCTGGGTTCAGGCAATTCTCCTGCCTCAGCCTCCTGAGTAGCTGGGATTACAGGCACGTGCCACCATGCCCAGCTAATTTTTTGTATTTTTAGTAGAGACGGGGTTTCACCATGTTGACCAGGATGGTCTCGATCTCTTGACCTCGTGATCCACCCGCCTCGGCCTCCCAAAGTGCTGGGATTACAGGCTTGAGCCACCGCGCCCGGCCTAGTTTTGTTTATAAAATGGAATCTTTCACTTGTCCAGTAGATACTCTTCATATATTGATTGATTGATTGATTGATCCTTTCATTCATTGGAGAGACACTGTCTCCCAGCCTGGAGTGCCGTGGTGCAATCTCATCTTCTGCAACCTTTGCCGCCCAGGTTCAAGTGATTCTCCTGCCTCTGCCTCCTGAGTAGGTGGGGTTACCGCCATGCCGCAACACCTGGCTAATTTTTTATTGTTAGTAGAGACAGGGTTTCACCATGTTGGCAAGGCTCACCAGCCCAGGTTCACAACGCCGAGCCAGAAGCTCTAACTTAATTCGATCCCATTTGTTAATTTTTGCTTTTGTTGCAATGGCTTTGGCATCTTTGTCATGAAGTGTTTGCCTGTGCCTGTGTCCTGAATGGTATTGTCTAGGTTGTCTTTCAAGGTTGGTTTTTGTTTTGTTTTGTTTTGTTTTTGGAGATAGAGTTTCACTCTTGTTTCCCAGGCTGGAGTGCAATGGTAAGATCTCCACTCACCGCAACTTCCGCCTCCTAGGTTCAAGTGATTCTTCTGTCTTCGCCTCCCAAGTAGCTGGGATTACAGGTTCCCGCCTCTGGAATAGTTTCAGTAGGAACAGTACCAGCTCTTCTTTGGGAGAATTCAGCTGTAAATCCATCTGGTCCTGGACTTTTATTGATTGGTAGGCTGTTTATTACTGCCTCAATTTAAGAACTCATTATTGTTCTGTTCAGGGATTCTGTTTCTTCCTGGTTCAGTCTTAACAGGGTGTACACTTCCAGGAATTTATCCATTTGTTTGAGATTTTCTAGTTGATGTGCATCGAGTTGTTCATAATATTCTCTGGTGGTTGTCTATTTCTCTGGGGTCAGTGGTAATATCCCCCTTATTGCTTCTGATTGTGTTTATTTTGTAATAACCTACCCTGGGCTAGCATCACTGACTCCATCTTAGCTGTATACTCCAACCCAGCTTCTCCTTCCTACCACAGTCCCTTTGGGTACATAACTGGGCCACACTGACGCTGTGCTTATGTCACGCTGACTCTGTGCTTATTCTGCCATATAACCAGTGTAACTACATTCTGCTTGGCAAGCACACCAACTTTTATATGTATAACTCTCTGAATCCCCGCTTGGTGATTGTTTCGAAATACCCTTAGCAACCAACAATCCTGGGAACCTCCTTCCCCCTGGTTGCTAGCTAACCTGTTCTGCTTCTGTAAAATTCAACTTCAGCTAGGCTCTTCTTCCCTTACCTAAATCAAGGTATAAAGGGAAATCAAGCCCCTTCCTCGGGGCTGAAAGAAATATGAGCATTAGCCGTCACAGGCTAATTAAAAGGACTCTTAATTTGAAACTCAGTGTGTGGTGCATTCCTTCTAACTCACTTGGATGTTAGAATTTGAATCTTCTCCCTTTTCTTTTTTGTTAGTCTAGCTAGTGGTGTTTTTAGTTATTTTATTTTATTTTCAAAAAACCAGCTCCTGCATTTGTTGGTCTTTTGAATATGTTTTCATGTCACTATCTTGTTCAGTGCAGCTCTCATTTGGGTTATTTCTTGTTTTCTGCCGGCTTTGGGATTTGTTTGCTCTTGGTTCTCTAGTCCTTTTAGTTGTGATGTTAGGTTTTTAACTTGAGATCTTTCTAACTTTTTGATGTGAGGCTTTAGTGCCAGAATGTAGTGAGATCAGATGTATTAAGGAAGGCCAGGTGTAAGGCATGAAGGCTCATGCCTGTAATCCTTACACTTTGGGAGGCTAACACTGCAGAATCACTTGAGCCCAGGAGTTTGGGAACAGACAGGGAAACGTGGAAAACCCGTCTGTACTGAAAATATGAAAATGATGGCCGGGCGCGGTGGCTCACGCCTATAATCCCAGCACTTTGGGAGGCCAAGACGGGTGGATCACGAGGTCAAGAGATCGAGACCATCCTGGTCAACATGGTGAAACCCCGTCTCTACTAAAAATACAAAAATTAGCTGGGCATGGTGGCGCACGCCTGTAGTCCCAGCTTCTCGGGAGGCTGAGGCAAGAGAATTGCCTGAACCCAGGAGGTAGAGGTTGCGGTGAGCCAAGATCGCGCCATTGCACTCCAGCCTGGGTAACTCCGTCTCAAAAAAAAAAAAAAAAAAAAAAAGAGCCGGCTATGCTGGCACACACCTGTGATTTCAGTTACTTGAGAGGCTGAGGTGGGAGAAACATCTAAGCCTGGGGAGGTTGAGGCTGCAATAAGCCATGATGGTACCACTGTACTCCAGCCTGGGTGACAGAGTGAGACCCTGTCATAAAGGAACAAGCAAGCAACAGATATTTTATGCCCTTCTCAGGGTAGGAAACAAAATTAACTATATACAGTTTTTTTCTTTTTTTTTTTGAGACAGAGTTTCGCTCTTGTTACCCAGGCTGGAGTGCAATGGCGCGATCTCGGCTCACTGCAACCTCTGCCTCCTGGGTTCAGGCAATTCTCCTGCCTCAGCCTCCTGAGTAGCTGGGATTACAGGCACGTGCCACCATGCCCAGCTAATTTTTTGTAATTTTAATAGAGACGGGGTTTCATCATGTTGACTAGGATGGTCTCGATCTATTGACCTCGTGATCCACCCGCCTCGGCCTCCCAAAGTGCTGGGATTACAGGCGTGAGCCACCGTGCCCAGCCCTAAATTTTATTTTATTTTTATTTTATTTATTTATTTATTTATTTTTTGAGACGGAGTTTCACTCTTGTTACCCAGGCTGGAGTGCAATGGCGCGATATCGGCTCACTGCAACCTCCGCCTCCTGGGTTCAGGCAATTCTCCTGCCTCAGCCTCCTGAGTAGTTGGGATTACAGGCACACGCCACTATGCCCAGCTAATTTTTTTGTATTTTAGTAGAGACGGGGTTTCACCATGTTGACCAGGATGGTCTCGATCTCTTGACCTCGTGATCCACCTGCCTCGGCCTCCCAAAGTGCTGGGATTACAGGCTTGAGCCACCGCACCCGGCAAATTTTATTTTTAATTTAATTTAATTTATGTTTTTGAGACCGAGTCTTGCTCTAGGGTTTAGGTTGGAGTGCAATGGTGCGATCTCAGCTCACCACAACCTCTACCTCCCGGGTTCAAGTGTTTCTCCTGACTCAGCCTCCTGAGTAGCTAGGATTACAGGCATGCACCGCTACGCCTGGCTAATTTTTGTATTTTCAGTAGAGATAAAGTTTCTCCATGTCGGTTAGGCCGGTCTCTAACTCCTTACCTTGGTGGTCTGCCCATGCTGGCCTCCCAAAGTGCTGGGATTTAAGCACTTTAAAATTTAAGGCCAAGCATTAAATTTTATTTTTAAATTTTAATCTGTTTATTTATGTATTTTGA